GCAGGAAGATCATTACAAATTCAAGGCCAGCATGGGCTACAAAGTGAGCCCAAGGCCAGCCTGAACTACATAGTGAGACCCTGTCACAAAAAGACAAACACAAACAGCTGGTTTTTAAATAGCCATACTTTTATTTATTTCTACTTATTTTTTTTTTAAAGTTTAGTGAGTATTATAGATCTCCCAGAGTTTAAGGACTAGGCTACAGTTCAGGGCGCTGTGCCTGACTGGGTTCCTGTCAGCAGCTGGGTTTTTAGAAATCAGTAATAACAGCAATGCTAATTCACCTTAATAACAGCCTGGCCTCTACAGGGCTCTTTCATCTGTGTAACTCCCAGAGCTGGGAAAACAGTAATTATGGAGCAGGTGCCACACCCCAGTGATGATGTATTATTAATCTATGAGCACTGGCTGGGAAACTGAGATCCAGGGAAAATGCTCTCACCTCATGTGGAGCTAAGGAATTGGTTGCCAAGGGCTGCCTGGCAGTGAGGAACTAGAGGTGCCTGTTCTAATCTAGCTATGTTTTGGGAAGGATTTTTTTTTGGGGGGGGGGGTAGGGGCTGGCTCAGGCTGCCTCAGGGTGGGGTCTGGGAATCGAACCGGGTCCCCTGCGCCTGACTGGGTTTGCCCAAGCAGGCACTTAAACAACTGAGCTAACCTGCAAGCCCCCTCCAGCTATGTTTTGGGAAGATGCTGAACACAGGGGTATTCATTCCACACCTGGGTTTGGGGAAAAGATGAGGAAAGACATCAGATACAGGTCCCAAGACCCTCCCAGGCTGTAGCAGGGCCTGGTGGGGAGCTCTGGCTAAGAGTCAGGGCCTCTGTTCTTGAACCTGAGTCATCCTCCCAGGGTGAAGCAGAGCAGAGGCTGTCCCTAAGCTTCTCCACCATCTCTGTGGTATACTCAGGCACCAAAGGGTAAGTAAGGATTCAGCCTCCCAAGTAGTCCCCTGCTATAGGCAGAGTCTGTGAAGATGGAGTGGGGGCATGTGGCAGCTGGGCAGGCAGATCAGACCAAGGACAGGTCAGAAAGTGGGGATGTAACTCAGTGGCTTCCCTTTCACACACTAAGCCCTAAATTCAATAATCAGCACTGAAAAGGGGGGCCAGGGAGACAGTACTTAAACCCCAAGCTCATCTTTGTAGCCCCCATTCATCCTTGACACCAAACCTAAAATAATAAGGGTCTCCCTACAGCAAAACCTGTCTCTCTGGTCCCTGCTGCAGAAACTTACACAGAAGGCCCATCTGACCTATTCTAAGAGGGCAGATTTGGAAGGGCGGAGAGTCATAGAAGATCAGAGACCTTTTCCCACTGTGGCCATAGAGGGAAACAGCAGACTCAGACAGTGAGGGAAGAGTAAGGTGGAGGCATTTCAGACTTTTCCACAGACTACGAAGTACTGAGCACTCTGGCACAGACACAATCTAAGCTCCAAGGAAACTCTAAGGATCAGGCCAGGAGTAACTAGTGACCTTGGCCTCTAGGATGGTGTCAAAAGGGAAATATTAAGGGCCTTATTCTAGGAGAGCTGGTTTTTCTTCAGCAAGGGAGAAAGCTGACCAGCATCCTCAGGCCCTGGGATAGTATTATAATCCTTCAGGGGTCCTCTCCACAACATAGGTTCAAGAACTGGCTTTTTCTCCTTTTTTAAATTTTTTATTTATTTTGTGGCCTGCTCAGCCTGCCCTGGGAGCAAGGTTGCCATGGCATGCGGTGCCTGGGATTGAACCGCAATTTCTGTGCTTTGCCTAAGCTTGCCTAAACAGGCGCTTTAGACCGCTGAGCTATTTCGCCGGACCTTGTCTGCTTTAAATAAAACCAGGCTCCCTCATGAATGAAAAATAAAAGTAGAATGCTAACATAAAAAACTAGCCAGGTGAGGAACAAACAAACAAAAAAAAAAACAACTAGCCAGGGTCAGGAATCTTGTCTGATGCCACCATATGAATTGCTTCCCTCTCTGGACTTCTGTTTCCTCATTTCTAATATGAGGGCACTGGACTAGACCGTGTAGAATTTCTTCCAGCCTATGGAAACTGTGTTGTTTTGACGTGGTGGCAGATCTCAGGTCGATTTACATAAATTTGCATGCTCAATCAGAAATCCCAAACTCCAAGTATAGAAAATCCAATCAGTCCATTAGTGCAGTCAGATGGGGGATGAGGATTGTCAAAACAGACTGTGGTAGTAACACTGATGTGGGGGAGGGGCTGGGGAACTTGCGGAGGGAGAGAGGCAGCTCTGGTTGTCCCAGAGCTCCAGCAACCCTACTGTGGCTATCAGGCAAGAGTCCTTTCTCCTCCTACTTCTAACAGTGTCTCTGGCTAGCCAGCCTCAGAGCCACACCCTACAAAGAAACAGCAGCCTCTGCCTAGCAACAGCTGCATCTTTCACTCTGACTGGAATTCCACTACGGCCCATTTTCTGGCCTCCCTGGGAGCTTCCATTACCCATTCCATGGGCTCACCACAGTGAGGAAGACTTCCTTGGGGGTCTTAACCTAAATGTCTCCTGCAACTTCTGTAGCAGCCTCCAGGAAAGAGGGTTCCCAGGCCCAGGAGAGTAGGCGGAAAGAAAAGCAGTGGAGAAGTGTGTCTCATTCTCACCCTGTCCCTGGCCTCTTTAACCACCACCTCTCCTTTAACATTCCTCTTTACCTGGGAGACCAAAGATGAAAACAAACAAGAAGAACAGGAGGCCTTTTGGCTCTTGAGCTGGGAAGCAAGTCCCAACCTGGAGAGACTGACTTCTGAGAAAGGCCAATCCCCAGGAGGAGAGGGGCTGGAGAAGGTGGGGTGGGGGCAGCTTCTGTTCAGTGCAGCTGGGCAGGGTGAGCGCAGCAGATGATACCTTAGTATCATCTGAACTTGGAAGCTGAGGCTGAGTGCAGAGACAGGTGGGAAGGGCCTGGGAGTGGGATGGACAATGACAGTGGGGCTCTCCTTGCCCTCTTCCCACAGGGTGGGTGAGTATGCGGTAGTTGCTGGCCCAGAACCTAAAACAAGTCCCAACAGCTGGGATTCAAGCTGTCTCCTGGGAATCTGCTTACCCTGCTGGCCCTTGGCTGCCTCCTCTATTCTCAACCCCTCCCCAAAGACACAGCTCAAAAGAGTAGCCCAGCCAGCATGTCTCACCAGAGGCCTTGATGGGTGGGCCAAACCCAGGCCAGCAGGAGTTCAAATCTCAAGGCATCAGGAGTGTGAAGAACAATGACTCTTTCGAGAATACCCAGGTCAGATAAGGTAGTCTGCTTCTCTAATCCTAAGTAACTGTGACAACTACCACCTTAGCTTTTAAATGGAGCCAACCTGTCAGAGAACCTTTCTCCCTTCTAGCCACATATCAGTGGAATCATCCAATATCAAAAAGTAAAAGAGAATTTTAGACCTTTCTAGTCTCACTGCTAACTTTTAAAGGTGAAAAAGTCAGCCCCATAGAGACAAACTGTCTTGGCCAAGGTCACAGAGCGGACTGGGAAGCACAGGGCAGAGATGCTAACTGCACAGGTTTCTACCTGCCTGTTATGAAGTACCTACTTCTCTGCAGCCCACAACATCACCTCCCTAGGTTCTCTCTCCTCATGAAAGAGGCATGAACCCAAGAAGGATGTTGGAGGGATGAAGCCACCTCACACATGGACCAAATTTTGCAAATGAAAGTGAACTATATAGGCATACCCTCTTCAGATAAGAAGATAGTGGTTTCTCCAGATTAAGAACCCAGTGATCCCAGTTTGTTCTTAGAAGTGTGTGCATAAGAGAGGCCAATTTGAGAAGTAAATATTGTTGCTCATCCGGCCACAAAAGGGGTCTGAGAGAGCCAACTAGCATGATGTCTGGAAGATAAAATCTGGAACGAAGAAGTTGGTTTGCATTCATTTCCCCCCAAAAGTACTGAGCACACCATGGTTAGACATTATGCACTTGTCCACTGTCTCCCAAGGACCACCCCTCTCAAGCTTCTACCTCCAACTACTTCCTCTGGCTGACAAACATGCTCAGGTCAGAGGACCCACTGGGGAGGGATGAAGCAGCAGGGTGGGGATAGGAGGGCTCCACGGCCCCCTCGCCCCTCAGGAAGGCAGGCCTTTAAGAAGTGGCTCTGGGCGGGCTCAGCTGATCAAGGACTGAGCCGCCGGGAAAATCAGACCGATGTGAAGTAAGGACTCTCTGTGCCCTTGGGGCAGTGCCAAGACTAGAGAGACTGAGGGACTGTGGGTCTAGCATAAAGAAAGAAGCTGGGGTGCAACCTAGGCGGGCTAAACCTGAGGAGTGTCGGGCACAGATAGATTCTCTGCATTCTTCTGGCACCGCAGTCAGGACACAGAGAGCCTTTTCCACAGGCGCTGCTCGGTTTCTACTCCCTGCCCAAGCCTCTTCAGCGCGCAGATGGCCGGGCTGCCTCCTCTCAGCCCCTGAAAGCTTAGGAAGGGCTGTTCCCCGAGACCAGTTCTCTCCGCCCCTCCCGCCTCCCCCACGCCCTACCGCCCCAGGCCACGGGGACTGAAGGAGCAAGAGAGCTGCCCCGGGCTCGTTTCCGCGCCTGCGTGGTGGTGGTGGGGAGACAGGTTCCCCCCACCCCCAACCCAACCCCGCCAAGCCGCACCAGACGGTGGGATTCGGGTGGGGTGGGGTACGCAGCTGGGACAAGGTCAGCGCTTTCAAAGGGGAGGGAGGCCGGCCACCGGAACATCCCCCACTCCCGAAAGTTTCCCTTCCGGGGCCATGGAGTGTGCGCGAGGATGGCGCAGGGGGCGGGAGGGGGTGGGGTGGACACAGTCGCAGCCCGACCCCGGGGACAGTGCGGCGGCGGGAGGAAGGCGGGGAGGGGCAGGCGGTGAGGTGTGAGCAGGAAGCCGCGGCGCCCCTCCGACCCAAGGCTGGCACGAGAGCCTGCCTCACCCTCTACACTCCCCAGCCCCCCGACCCGAGCTTATAGAGCTCCCCACCACCTCACCGCCCTTTAAATCTCTAGTAGGCCTGGAACTCACCAAAATCAGGTGTTGCGCTGCACCAGGGCAAGCCACATCTACCGGGTGCATGGCCGCGGAACAGGGGCGGGGGTCAAAGAAAGGGGGTGCCGGAGCCGCCGCTTGATGTCAAGGCTTTAAAGGGGCCAGTGAGCCCCGCCCCTCACGGAGACCCCGCCTCCCTCCTCCAGAACCGCCAATCCTTATTCACGCTGGCCGCACGCCCCGCCCAGCTCCCTCCAGATGTTCCCAGGACTAGAGCTAAGTCTGCCCCGGCGGCGCGCGCCGCTTCCGCCCGGGTGGTAAGGGCCTCCCCTTCCCTCCCACCCTCCTTTAGTGGGGAAAAAGTCTCTGCTGCCGGACCGGGCAAATTTCACCATTCCCTGGTGGGGGATGCTGGGCCGGGCCGAGGGGAGAGGAGGCACAACAGGGGTGTCCAGTACAAACAAAACTAAGTAGGTAACGGGCGGCCCCCAGGCATGCGCGTCTTCTGTGGAGCTGGGCGTGCACGTGTATATGTGGTTGTGAGCCTTGGTTGTGATTTGCCTTCCTGCTTACGTTGAGAGTGTAAATCCATGGGGAGAGGATTCAGTGCTCCTTGGCCTGGAACACACCTATCTTCTTCCACTATAGGGTCTTCCCCAATAATCTGGAGAACTGGGTGCTAGAAACAACGCGCCCCTTGCCCTGGAGCAATGGCAGCCTTTTTTTCATTGGTTTAAGAGAGAAATGCAGTACAGAAAGAAGAATGTAGCATTTTGACAACTTGCTATCTTGGGGAGACTAGTTCGAACCACCAAACTTGTAAAGAGGAAAGAAAATCAACAATGTAGGCCTGCAAACAGCACTCAGGAGGCTGAGGCAGGAGGATCTTTGTAAATTCGAGACCAGCCTGGGCTACAAAGTGAGATCAAGGCCAGCCTAAATAAACTGCATAGCGAGACTCCGTTTCAGAGACAAAACAACCCACCCAGGACCCTCAGTACACAGATCAGACTCGTAGTGATCCTCCTGTTTCAGCTTCCCAAGCGCTGGGATTACAGGCACGTGACACCACGCCCAGTCTTGTCCGAATATATTAAAATCTTCACAAACCAAATTGTACTGATTGTCTTAGATATGTAGGTTCTGAACTACGTTCTGCAGGAAAATACAAATACACTACTGTTTATTAAAATTGCTTCTTGTGTAGGTATACACAGGATGTGACTTCAAGCATTATATTAGTTCAATAAAAACTGAGGGAACAGTGGATGCTTACATTGGTTAAGATTGAGAGTTTCTCTCTGAAAGAGGCTTCTTATTTAAAGTGGGGTTTGGTGGCACACACCTAATAATTCCAGCACTCTTGGAGGCTGAGGTAAGACTGCCACGAGTTTGAAGCCAGGCTGGATTCCATAGTGAGTTCAGGACCAGCCTGAACTGCATGGTGAGACCCTTTCTCAAACAGAAAAAAACTGGGAAAAAAAAAAAAAAAGTGTGAGGGTGGTGGTGGGAGTGTGTGGGGGCCAAGGGGGTAGTGAAATGAAGAAATTTGAGTAGGAGCCAGGCTAAAGACAGAGGATAGAGGAAAACTGGAAAGAAGGAAGCAGCATGGGCCAGTGTACAGGTTATATTGGTAGATTGGGAAGTGACAGAAGTTAATGCAGGAGGTTTTGTATGCAATCAGAATGAAGATGCAGATTTGACAGATGAGAAAATAATCATTTTGAGTTCTTGAGCCCAGGGGTAACTTGATAAAAACAGAGTCTGAGGACAGCTGTTGGAGCCTAAAAGATAACAAGATGACAGTCTGTTGCCAACTCTCAGAAAAGATTTTCTTTCTGGTACAGGATGAACGCAGGGCCTTCACACTCAGATTTTAAGCAGTGTCTTACTAAATTGTACAGGCTGGGCTTCAACATGGATCTTCCTGCCTCAGCCTTGCAGAGGGCTGAGATTACAGCTGTGTGCCTCCAAGCTCAGTTCAATTTTTCGCTTATTTTTTTTTTAAAGTATAACATTCAGTTTATTATTTCTTTCTCAACTCAGTCCATTAAGACCCAGCTTCCCTTACATGGGCTTTGGTGGAGGTCATGGGGCAGCACCAGCAGGTCTAAATCGGAGGGGGAGGTGTTCGATCCTTTCATGAGATCAATTTCTGACCACTTATGCAGCTTCACATACAGCTTGGAAAGCACATAAGCGTCGAAGACACTCGCTTCGGAAATGTCCCTGACGACGGCAGCCTCCACTATGTTCCGAATGACAAACTTCTTAATAGCCTTATCTTTGGGTATGCACCGGGCGCAGTTCGCGCAGCGAATAGGCTGCGCATGACCGCGGCCATTTTTGTTGTTGTTGTTGTGTTTGTTCTTTTTGTTTGTTTGTTTATTTTGTGTGTGTGTGTGTCCAGCTCAGCCCACCAGGGGGGCGGGGCTGGCTGGCATGTGGTGCTGGGGATTGAACCGCGGTCCATGTGCTTTGCCAAGCTTGTTCTAAGTAGGTGCTTTAGACCACTGAGCCATCTCACCAGCACCACCGCGGCCATTTTTGGCACAACTATTGTTCCTTCTTTTTTTTGTCATCTTGGAAAGGAGGACCCGAATGAGCTTAAATTTCTTTTTTTTTTTTTTTTTTTTGGCAGAACCGGGGATTGAACTCAGGCCCTTGCGCTTGCCAGGGAAGCGCTTATTCCACTGAGCCATCTCCCCGGCCCCAAGAGCTTAAAATTTTTAAAAATGAAAATGTACATTATCATACCTGGCTTAGCAATCAGTTTTTAATTACTATGTAATATTCTACTGTATTACTGTATCACCACTTACTCATTCTCCAGTTGATATTTGGCTGTCCCATTTGGGGCTTTAAAAAATATTAGTTTTTTTGTTTGTTTTGTTTTTGTAGAACTGGGGATTGAACTCAGACCTTTGCGCTTGCCAGGCAAGCGCTTATCCTACTGAGCTATCTCTCCAGCCCCCAAAATATTAGTTTTTAAGACAGGCTCTCACTATGTAATCCTCTTTTTTTTTGGGGGGGGGTTAGGGGCGGGTATACTAGGGATTGAATTTAGGACCTTGTGCTTGCCAAGCAGGCACTTAAGCCACTGAGCTATCTCCTGGCCCCTTCACTACGTAATCCAGGCTAGCCTTGAGCTCATTATGTAGCCCAGGCTGGCCTTGAACTTATGGCAAGTCTCTTGCCTCAGCCTCCTGAGTGCTGGGAATATAGGAATATACCACCATACGCAGCTGGGGCTATTACAAATAAACTTGCTATAGATATTCTTATGGAAATTTTTATGAACATATATTTTTACCTTTTTGTATAATATATAGTAGAATCTTTGGAATCTTACAGCATTGACTCTAGTCATCCAACATTTATGAATAGGGATCAGTGAGCTAGTCCTGGGATTACAACAAAATTTGGACTGAGGAAACAGTGGATGTTTAAGCCTTTAAGAGAAAAACTTTAAGTTTGCCAGGCATTTATAACTATTTTTGCATGTATGCAAATAGCTTAATATTTGGAAGCAAACAGAACATCTAGATGACTTTCACCTTTCATTCAGATGTATGTCTTTGCTTAATAAACACAGCTGAACATCTGCAGTACAGGAAGTAACTCCCCTCATAGTCTTTCACACACTTGATAGTTTAGTTGTTCAAATTTTGCAGATTCTCTATACTTCAAAAAACTTTATTCTGAAAATTTCAATCTTCCTTCTACTGCCATCTGGAACCTGTTATGAATTGTTGGGTCCAAGTTCCTGCTGTTCACAGTGCCAGCTGTGGAGTCTGTGGAGAGGACTGAGACCTTGGGGATCTAGGAATGGGTTTTTAAAGTATTTATGGAGGAAGAACTCAGAATCCTGCCATAGCCTTCTGAGTGGCTGGAGTGAACACCTAACCACCCCAGCCTCTCCTGAAATCTAGTGGAGACGTAGAGTCTCAATTCCTCCTAGGTCTGAGTCTGTGTCTCATCTGGATGGAAGGGTCAAGCCCAGGTAGGAAGAAGCTGGGTCCTGTCACTTTTGGTGCCTGAGATGGCCAGAGACAGGGAGTGCAGGAGAGAGCTGGACAGACTGCCTTCTGTAGCAGCAGTCAGTGACCTTTGAGGATGTGGCCATGACCCAGGAAGAGTGGGCTTTGCCAAAGACTCAGAAGAATCGCTAAAGAGCTGTGATGTAGGAGACATTCTGGAATCTCACCTGGTCAAAAACGGCAATACCCAACCACTGAAGATAAGTTCAAGAATCTCAACAGAAATCTAAGATATTCAGTGCTACAGAGATTCTTTGAACATAAAAAGTAGAAAACATAGAGAAATGTTCGGCAAGACTCCATATCACAGAGTGAACAAGAAAACTTCTAGGGTAAAATGTGTATAAAGGAGTGGCCAGTAGTTTCTGAGGGACATCATAATTAACCACATACACTAGTCATCTATCAGGGCTGCATAGAGAAGGCCCATGGATGTAAAAAATGTGATAAAGCTTTTAAGTGGCCCTGTGACCTTATGAAAGGACTCACAATGGAGAATCATACCTCAATCAGCTGGAAAATTTTGAACTTTAATGGGCATTATATAAAATTCTGTATAAAATTTTACTGCTTTGGGAACAATTTAAAGATGTTCAGCCAACTTGCCTAAGCATTCTCACATTTTAGTTTTACATTTTAAAATCATGCTTATGATAACTTTACAGATGATTCATTAAATCCTTTTTTTTTTGTTTTTTTGGTGGAACCGGGGATTGAACTCAGGCCCTTGCGCTTGCCAGGGAAGCACTTATTCCACTGAGCCATCTCCCCGGCCCCTTGAATTTTTTTTGACAGTAGAAAAATTACAAATTTATTATTCACCTGGATCAAATAACAAGAGAGCCAATGATGGACATATTAACCACATAAATCTTGGGTTTCCTTCAGATCAGATATAGCATTATGCTCTTTATATTATTTACCTTCATAGGCTTTCAAGACAGAGGAACTTTTACAGGACATTCAAAGTGTCACAGTTGATTCTTTTTTTTTTTTTTTTTTTTTTTTTGGTACCAGGATTCAAACTCACAACCTTGTGCTTGCCAGTCAGGCACTTAACGCAGCTGAGCTAACTCCCTCGCCCTTGATATCTTTCTTGTATAT